AGCCACAACAAAATAGAATTATCAATGGTAGCCATTAAAATCTCAAATGTTTTGAAGTGTAATAGATGTACCAGACGGAAATGTTCCATAACTGGAATTCAACGGTTTTTTCACTTTACCCAATACCGCCAGAAATTTTGGAAATCGTTAACTTCTTCAGGCTACTGAAATTTAAACAAGGCAAGAAATGGTGATCGGTGGAGAGGATTTTTTATGCTTTTTGTTTCCTTTAATGCAATAGACATTTTGTATAAATACAAGTCGTTAACATTGTTTTCATGTAAAAAAGGAAAGGTTTTAAAGATAGTTCCGGCTATAGATGATGTTTTGGTTTTGTTTGAGCTGATGAACTTGATTGATGATAGTGTATCCAAGGTCTTCCCTTCATTATCCAAAAAATATTTTTGAAAAATAGGAAACGTGCTTTCGTATTTATTAGAAGTTGTTTTTAACTTTACTGATTTTATGAAAACCTACGACCATTTCAACAAGGGCTTCGAAGAATCTAGTTACTGAAAAAATTGTTTTCTGCTAATATAAAGAGCATTTTTTGATAAGAGTTACTTTCGTTTATGAAGACATGACCGCATTATCATCGATTTAGTTCACAAATTCTGAGGGCAGAGGGATGCAAAAGATAAAAAAAAAAAAAAAAAAAACATTCGTCTGATTTTTATTTAGCTTCAGGTATATACTTCACACTTTCAATAAAAACTAAGGAGGAATTTTCTCCAATTCTATCAAGGAAGTCCAGGGTCTTTTCATCTTTACTGTATACTATCGCTCACAGTGTTGATTGATTTCATGAATATGAAAGCTGAGTGCCCTTTGCGTAACTGATCGAGAAGACCTGAAGTTCATTGGCGATACGGCAGCTTTGGTAGATTCCCACTGAAAATAACACCTTCCTTGCTTATGTGTATTCGAAAGGGTTACCATTTTAAATCGCTATGGATTCACATTTTACCATATATTTGAGAATTTTCCCTTCACCACAAACCTACGAACCGAACTTCTTTATCTGATTGCATAAATAATGGACTTAAAACACCATATGTAGTGCAAACACATAAGCGACAAGAAATGGAAATTGAATGAAATTTTGAGGGTACAGTTCAAGTGGAAATGGGGTATTGTACTCATAGCTTCATAGGATTTTGTTTTGCTCCTTGAGGTTGAGAACCCAAGTTTTTCAATAAATAAAATTTCTAGTACAGCTCCCTTGAAGAGTAATAGAATATAAAATGAATATCTTTTAAGCAGACTGAAACAATGGAATTAGCTTCTAAAAAATTCTGTCAGATATCTGAATTTAAATCTGTCTTACATGTTCTCTATTCAACTTTCACTATGGCTATTGTACAATTGAATAATGAACTTGGGTTTTGCTTTACCTTTCTGAATACTTCACAGCTTGGTTTGTTTAACAGGATTTCAGAATCGTTCACACCCTCTATCTGGACACTTTTTTCAATAATTTACGGTTTTCCTTTGCCGCACCAAAATTTTGCCGTTGATCGCACCAAAGTGGATGGCACTTTTTTTATTCATATTCAGATCCAGGAGCTCTTAGAAAATGAATTTATGCAAATGTTCATCTTAAGCTTTTATGATGGTGATCACTTTCTATAAAACAAATTGATAATCAGGCTCTCGAAAGATAATAGAAGTCTCACAAAGACCGCCGCATTGAACACAATCAAGTCGCCGCAAGATAATCTCCCTTTCTAATACAATACATGATGGCAATTTTAGAGCAGACTATACTTCGATTTCTCTTAAGTTGTTGAAGTGCGCGAGTAATCGATGAAAGGCGAACACACTTTTTATCTCTAACAGAGGACAAAATATACCTGTGCCATTTTCATATTTTGCTTGACCCCCACAATGCACCCTTTTGCCCCAGTCTGTTATGACCCGAAGGTATAATGAAACATTTAAACGATAAGATTTATAGCCGTACACATGAATCGCATACAGTTACATTTATCTATTATTTTCTGCGAGTTCTTTCCGTGATTTATTTATCTGCTTACGTTGCTTGGCAACAAACAAAGGCGAACGTAATAAAATATGAAATATCACTATAAAATAAATGAAGTATTGTCTGCTTCCATCGTTTGGTTTCTGTCATCGGCTGAATACTTTCACTAAAAACTCCACTTTAGGTGAAGCTAGAACGTAAATTGTACATTAACATAATAAAGATATACAAATAAAAAGTGAAGGCCCATTACAATTGAAAAACACTGGTTTGGGAAACTGTTAAACGGAGCTAAATGTGACAGCGCAGTTGGAGAACAAACAGACGGAGAAGATTTGAGCCGCGTTATTTTCAGAAATTCTTTAGTAAAGTGCTGGTGTCAAAAGGCTTTGCCTTTTTTCTTTTATCTCAAATAGAATCTTTACTACAAGCACAAAACAAGTATGTCTTATTTCCAACAATAATTTTGTTTCTTTTTTTTTTTTTCTTTGTTTGTTTTTGTTTGTTTTTTTTTTCATACCAACTTATAACTTTCGTAATTGAGGTTCACGAAAGGTTTTAATTATGAAGCCTACATCATTGGGAATATATTTGTATTTTCGATCAGTTTGTATTTCATTCGTTGTCGTTGACACCTTCTCTTTTTGTCAACCTGACAACATTATTTTCTCACTGATATTATCGAGTTCAAAAGGCGACCATTTTTCTTTTTCAATTTTTTTTTTTTTTCATTTAGATAGTTTTCTTGAGGTAAAAAATGAGTAAAAAATTCCAATTTTTTCTTGCAGGATTATTCTACATGAAGTTAATTAAGGGGGCACTCGCCGCCTCTTAAATTTTTTCTCTCATTGATTGGCCACCAGATCTTGAGAAGAGAGAAGTAGAACGCAAAATTTAATACACTTGTCAAGTTTAATTAATGAATTTCAGGGAATATTTATGCTGATTAAATCGATTCGAAGCTTAACGAGAAAATTAAATTTGTATCAAGTTCTTTCAAATTAGATGTTGTATTTATTAAATCTGAAGATTCCAAGACCATATAGGGGAAAACTGTGTTGGAGAAGAAATATATATCTGGCGCACTCAAAATCAGGACGGTTTTGAAGTCAGAACTACATTTAGCTGAGAAAACCGTTTAATTTTAAAATTCAGATTTCTTATATTTAGCATTAGAAGCGTTCTCAATCCATTAGCATTTGCCACCGTAACAAAGAGCCACATGCAGTTCAACTCGAACACATGTGTGACAGTCCGGCCCAAATCTGGCGTTGTTAGGATAACAAGACCGAGATAAAAACTTCTCATTCTTGTTATTTCATTTTCTCACGCGACGCTATCGACATTAGTGATATTAGCAGTCTGTACAACGTTTTTCACAGTCATATGAACCTAATCCTTTCCTGTTGCATTATGAGGTTCTCTGAGGCTGATTCGTAGAGTATCAGAGATATGATCTGAAGGTCGGAGGTTCGATTCGTCGTGGGGGATTCAAACTTTTTTCTTTGCCCCATGGTCGGGACAAAACGAAATATAAATTTTATTTTGTTTCAGTTGTTTTACGAAAAAGAGGATCTTAATTACGTCTCTTGGAAGTTTAGTTCGCCTAAGTGTTGTATTAATTTGACGCATACAATTTCCAGAAATCAAGACTGTCAAGAAATTGCTTTTTGCAGCAAGCGAATAAATATATTTCATTTCCCGTCACCACTTGCCACGAGCTATGTTAACCATACCTTGACCTTAACTTGCCTGGATTTGGTAAATACGTATCTCTAAGATTTTACCATTGCGTGATTTTTAGTACAGATCTGTGTTCTCCTGTTAGCAGACGATATGAAGTGTCAAAGGGAACATAAGCTCTGTATTTTCTTTAGCTGGATCTTTCTGCTCCATATTTGCTACACATTAGCATCATTTTCAGCTCGGTGTCTCGATAAGACACCGAGCTCCAAAGTTGTTTCGGTAGATTTCGAACGAATTCGCTCATAGAGACATTGCATTGTTAAGAAATAAAAGCAAAAAGCTCAAAAGTATAATATCGGCAACGGTTCTAGTAAAGTACACTTTCAAATCTGTTACAGAGATATTGTCATCTCGGACGTAACACATAACAAGGCCGTAGTATCAGATAGGCTTATGTTTAAGACCACATTGCAATTGAGTGTTTTTTCCCGCGAGAAACAGTTATCCCCCCCCCGGTCTTAATAATGCCCCTTGAGAACAGATATTACAACCTTCCATAAACGGGCTCTAAAAACGAAAACGAACTTTCTTCCTTCGAAGAGAACAAAATGGATCTCACCAAACGGCTCTGAAATGTTATGGTTCGCCCTGTGTATTTTACCCGATCATCTTTGAAAAGATTGGCAAATCGTATGAGGTTCTTGCACAGAAATGCTGCCTTCAAGCTGACTTTGTTGATGACAGGTGAAAAAGGGATCATATTGTAAACAAAACAACCCGAGTTATTTCCTTCTCTGAGATAAAGTTGTCAATAATTATTTATTGAAAAGAGGCTTCTGTTGTTATTGTGGGATACTAAGGCCCAAGATCTCACCAATTCAACACGAACGTGAACAATTTCACTGACACGTTCCATTAATTTAACAATTTTCTTTGCTAAAGAATTTATGGGGAAACTCGAATTGTATTGCTGATTAAATTCTGGCAATGACAATTTTACAACCAGGAAAATTGGAAAAAAAAAAAAAAGCTTGTCCAATCAATAAACTCATTAGTCTCAGTGAACGTTACAAGAAGGAGGTTATATCAGATATTGGTGCTTACAGTGCGAAGATTTTTTCAAGTTAGGAATTTTTTATAAGAACACACACAAAAATCGCGATTATCAGCTTTGCATTCGCTACTCCCATTTGAAAAATGGCTGCAAATTATTCATTTATGTATGTGTTTTTATACTTGTTTATACATACACTCGCCTGAGAAGTAAAAAGGTTTTAGGTCAAGCAATGTTAATTGTGGTTACTTGAGCAGGTAAAAGTAACTTAATGAAAGAAACTCCCTGAACCTCCCAGACATTGCACCCTTTTATGTTAAGTGCTCTCAGTCTGACAATTGTTGAAATGGAGGATCGATGAAAACCGATATCAATCGTTGCATAACCAATATCAATGAAACATTTCTCATGGTAATCATCGATCAGCGTAGCCGATACAGTATAGATAGCTTGAATATTAGGCTTGATACCTTCACAAAAAAGGCGTGATGTGTGGAAGCAATTGCAAATCTAAACGAGCATTATTATGGTAATAGTAATGCTAATAGCAGATGCCAATTCGTAAAAAAATTAGGCCAATTTAGCACAATTGGAAAAGGCAAACTTTCTGGTGTTTTCAACTGGAAAGGTCAGACGTCCGGCGCCATGCTACATGTTGGGATTAACACCTTAATTTCTTCCACCAATTTACGGGTGTTTTCATGCCTTTCTTTGTAAGACTTCATCATAGAGTTAAAAGCTAGTTTGTATCATAAAATTAAAGCAGTCGACGAAAGGCATTTTACAGCTTTTTGAGGAAAGGAAATAAAATGTACGCAGAATTTGTAGCGCCCATGCAAAACTGATCATTTCAGCATAAAAGTAGAATTTCACACTTTTCTTACCGTCCATAGAGTTTTTCTTCCGCTTTGACGCAAGGGATATTTTTTAGCCCTCTGATGTATTTTGATCTCGAGTGAACTTTAATTTCCATCTGTATCTATGATTGCAAAATGTCAACAGTCACTGTACGACCTAACACGTCCATCAATCTGTGTGAAGCCCACACATGACTCAGTCAAACCTTCAACTCACACGAAAATTTCCAGTATATTTTATGCTACCCTTTTCCAATGGAAAGTTAACGTTTGACTGCTTCAGTCTGGTGGTTTTTCACCGTCTATAAGCCTCATCCACTCCTAGCGTAGGATGTTTTTTCAATCACCATTTCAGTGACTTTTATATAGGCAAGAAAATCGAAAGGCTTCTTGTAAATCAAATCAGTTCGCGAGTGGGAGTGTTTTTTCCTTGCTATCTGCTTTCTTCGAGCCGATACGCCCTCTTTCACTAGATTTATTAATCTGAATACGATTAACAAAAAATCATTGAATTTTTTTTTCGCATGACTATAACGATTTAGACATAGAACAAAAGAAAAGTACAAGAAATGCTTATTATTAATTCACCTTTTAGAATTGGAAGCAGCCAAACATTTGACAGAGAGATAATCGTATTCGGTTGTCTTTCAACATATTAGAACTCTATGCAATCAGTTTTCGTTGTTATTACCTTTCAGATCCTGAGAATGTTTGCTTTTTTGTTCTTTGTCTATTAGCTCATGTGACCACTTTTATCATTCAAATACCAGCGCAAGGAATAGGGATTGAAATTTAACAAACAGAAAAACCAAACTCAATTTAAAGGTCTCGATATTTACTTTGGAACATTTCTCATTTCAAACTATTTGTTTAGCTTAGGCTTTTTTATTTACCCGAGTGAAAGGTGTTTTTGAATTTTCTTTTTGAGGCTTACATAATCAGGAACTTGATTTCCTAACCTTTGCATTCGTATTTTCAAAATATTCACTCGAATTATCCAATACCTTCCTTCAATAGTTGAAAAGTAATGCCAAAACAATAAGATGGATTTGCCAACAATGAGGGCTCGGAAATGTTTGTCACCGATTTGACCGATACTTTGTTTCTTATTCAAAGAATTATTTTTGTACTGAAAAGGAAAGAAAAAGACGAGATAGAGATAGATATACTCTCAAGGAACTGAACAACGATCCTCGCTCCTGACATCATTTACTACAAAGCGAAATTAGCATTTCAACATTGGAGAGCGTCATTACGTACAGATTTCGAAATTTGTTTACCGCTGGGCTGCGGCAAGGCAAGATTTACTGATGCTGTTTAGACTTCGGATTAAAAAAAAATTAGAAAAATAAACCATTCAGTGAGCTAAAAAATGTGATGAATATGGTATATTTCTTGCAGAATAGGACTTACCAACACACTGAAGCACATTTTCTCGCCGGTTAAGGTGTATTGGAAAAGGATATATCAAATCAGCTCCAATTCACTGATATCAAAAGGATACAACTGTTGATAAAATTAATCTGAACAAGGTCAAGGCAATGAAAATCCGGAATGGGTACATAAGTCAGCTTGTATCGATTCGTTTTGAACCAGTGAAATGCCTCTAGGTGATATTAGCATACCTCCGATCGGTTATCCAGCCTGTATCCTTTTCTATTCCTATTGTGCATCTGACCTTTACAGGACTCTTGATTTATAAACTTAAATAACCAGGAAATGAAATGAAACACAATAATAAAACTCTCACCAGGCGAAAATCGTGTTTTGCTCGATGGGGTATTCTAGATGGTTTTTTAAATCCGGTCTTGTTTCATTCTTCGCTTTGCTTCACAAAGAAATCAATGAGCTCGAAGTAATGACATGAGTCGTATTGTACATTTCCAATCAGCACCTCTGAACAATTAACGTCTGTAACGTTTGAAATCTAAAGTGCTAAAGATTATTAGTTTTAAATCCATAGTCTAGAGTAAAGCTTTATGGCGCCAATTAAAGCGAGCTCCAAAGGGAAGATGCAGTTACATATATCTGACTGTTAAGTGCCGGTTCATTTAAAAGTCAAGGAGTGATTATTTTGAAGAAGGAAATAATATTAATCAGAATAAACCAAGGAGATGCCTATCTACAAATCAAAATGCATACAACACGGATTTTTTATAAACAATAAAATGTCTTTTGTGTGATTTTCTTACAAACCGCGCATTTGACCGATACAATAAAGGAAATAAGTCACACGTCGTCTTGCATAGTCTTCAGCAACCTAATCAGGGATGATTTGAAATAAATATGAAAAGATATATTGAAAAGCGCAGATGTTTTCTCCTGGATTAATTTTCAATATTAGTCATATTTGTAAGGAAAATATGATGAAGGTTTTTTTAATACTGAGCTTCGCCGCAACCAATCCTTAAATTGATGACTCATCACCCCATTACAGCTGACTAATTTATCGATTGGAGATCAATGGAAAACGCTTGCCATTGGATTGCTGATAAAATATTGCCCTTCAAAGCGTCGAAGATTGTAAAATTAATGTCCCATTTAAGGTTAAGACAAGAATGGATAACTGAGGGAAAATTTCACGATCCCTTTTCTTGCCTACCCTGTCATTTCTTAGGCCTATGACAAGGTATCCAAAGAGCGGCTTTTAGCATATGCGCTGCTCGAAGAAGTCGCATATTATTTGAGTTATTCATAATGCTTTCGCATGTATAGAGGTTTTGCACAGCAGCCATGTTGGATGTCACGAACAATAGATTATTTTACCCATGGGAAAAATTTTCTTTCTTATGCAAAGTATTTTCATTGTTCCTGCCATCCAACATGGCTGCTGTGGAAAACCTCTATTAGAGGCGAAAAAAAATGCGGAGATCATTAAAGCGATAAGAAGCCTTTTGATAGGCAGCATGGTCGAGTGGTCAGCGTGTCGGACTTGCGATCCGCCGCTCCCAGGTTTGAGTCCCGCCCTGGCGCCACACTTCCTGGATTTGTTTCACGGTAGCCCCGAGTTTCAAATCCTCGGCTATGCTTGTAATATAGCCAACTGGTTTGCCTTCGACCAGTTGGGATTCTTAAAAATGTTATTTTCAATTTGAAATATTTGTTTCAGTTGTTTGGTGGAAAACCTGTAAGCTTCTAGCTAAGTGTTTCTCCACGTTAAAAACTGTTTATTATTTTTTTATTATGATAAAGCGAACTGTGATAAGTAGGAAATGAGGTACAACCTTTATTGGCCGAGAAGTAATATGTATGTTCCATCAAATAATCGTATAACATCACAAAGTATTTTTGCGCATTTCTTGTCTTTATTATATAGGGGGCAGTTCAAATGATATAAACCTGCGTAAGTGCACTTGATAATGATGATAGCTGCGATAATGAAGTTGATTGATAATATAATGTAATTTTCCATATCAATATGCTTTAAACACGAAGGCGCGCTATATAAGGAAGTCTTGCCTGGGAAGACCTAGGTTCATTTGTCACTCACCGTTGACGTGTGCGGGTCAAATTCAAACGCTGGTAAACGAACAAAAGGAGCTAATGAGATATCTATTGTTTACTTCCACCAGCATGGTGGCATGAGGTAACGTGCGAACCACCTACTTCGATCTCAAATTTACTGCCACAAATAAAGATGTTTCCATTGGAGAAGGAATTACAAATCTCAAAATTCTTGTTTTATGATGAAGACATAAAACAATTTTGAGGAATGCGCCCGCTGTTCACTGCTTTGGAGTAGCTGTAGCTCAAGCTGACCTGACTCTAAGAGTTCTACATCACACGACGGTTGATTTAAAAATGGTCCAGTGGGACCTAAGGCTCCTTTATAGCGTGCCTTCGTGTTTAATGCGCTTTACAACACTTTGGTCAGTAAAATACCTCTTTAAAGTGTTTACTATCGAGCTTTCCGGTTTTTTTTTCTCCCTTCCTTAACTCATTTAACCAAATAAACAGTACAGCCATACATGCCGCAAAACACCCACAAACGCATGCGTAAAATTATCGAAGAAGTGCAATACTTAAAACGAATGACTATTTTTCTTACAAGAGAGTTACCGCGCAAGTTTTTGCGAGACAGATAGACTGGCAGTTCAAATTCTGAGGATTGCAAGACTGTTTGCATGTTTTAACTGTCTCGGTGCATTTCATTTGGCATCCTCCCCCGCGACAAATCTGGGTGCAATGTTCAGAATTGCACTCCATATTGCAGTTAGCACCGATACAGTCTTGTGAGCACATACTCGAGGTGCAGGACATTGAGTGGCAGGCTCCATCGTTGCATGTTTGCGTGCATTCGTTGGATGCCCGACACTCCATTCTGCGGCAGTCTCCTTCATTGCAGATTTGATTGATTGATCGAAAAATGCCATAATGCAACCATCCAAGAAACGTACAACTTCGCTTCTGTGGACACTGCTGATGACATTCACGAGTTAGCATTGCACATCGAACCCTCCTTGTGATTGCCTGGAGTTTGGGAGCTTGGGCAGGAGTAACACAGCTTCCAGACTGGCAATAACGCTTGCAATGTTCTGCCTCGCATCCAAGAATACAGTTGCCACCAGGACACCACTGGAAACATTGCTTTACATTTGACATGCAACTCATCTTGCAGTCGCCACCTCTACATGTCTGAAGACAAGTCTCTGCTTCGCATTCCATCGTGCATCTCCCAGCGACACACTCCTGAACGCATACTTTTGAGTTGCATACATATTTCATACATTTTCCTCCAATGCAAACCTGGGTGCATTTACGTGGAGCTTTGCAGTCGAAATGGCAACTTCCCCCAGCACACACCTGGAGTAATGAGCTGTGATGGCTGTATTTATATTTCATGTCGCAATTTCCCTCAGAGCAGGTCTGCCTACAAGTACTTTCCTCAAGAGCGTCGTTGCAGTAGATGTGTCGTGCTGCACTAGGTACTGCCTCTAAACCTCGGGTAAATTTCGCACTATAAGTACATTTTCCTCCTTTACAAGATCGTATGCACTTCTCTGCATTACAAATCATGTTGCATTTTCCACCATCACAAGTCTGCTCGCATGACTTTACGCCGTGGGGGCAACGCATGGTGCATTTGCCCGATTGGCACTTCTGTATGCAGTTTTTGGCTTCTTTTGAGCAGCGCATGTTACAACCACCTATATAACACTTTTGTCTACAGGTTTCTCCGCCGCAATCCATCAACTGACAGCTTCCTCTTGTGCAATCTTGTCTACAATCTTTGGATTTGCAAAAGATGTTGTTGCAACGGCCAGCCACACACCGCTGAATGCACGAGTTTGGAGCATGACAATGCAAACGACAACTGCCGCTATTACAAGTTTGTTGACAAAACTTATGTTGCACACTTTTGCGGCAGATAATGTCATGATTTCCCACTTCCCGGTATTGATGGCAAGCGTTTTTGTAAATCAAGTTGCATTGTGTTGGTCGGAATCCCCGAAGGCCGCCGCCCACTCTGAGGAACAGGAAGGCAACAACAACCACAACAACTGGGCCAAGCATCTTCGCCTGGAAAATAAAAAGGTAATGAGGACATACCAATTAATTAGATGTATTTCAAATACACACGCTAGCTTTGCAGTAATAAAAGTTCTTGCTGCTTCAAACGCAAATGATTCGTTTTAACCGGAAGTAAAATCTTCGCTTGTGGATGCAATACTGCGTCATTAATTTGGAGTGATATTGTAAATTATGGCTAGCGAATGGTCTTTGAGAATCTTTTCAGAAAGCGAGGCTCAGCAAGACCTCAATCAGGGTATTGAAAATGTGTATAAAATTTCGAAGTGCTCTATGGGGTAGTTCTTAGTTATAATCCTCCTTTGACTTTTGTCTCCCAATTGTTTTCGGATCGGCGTTTTCACGTGATTGTGGAAGATAATGTGACCCTTCACAAGATTTCGAGGCTAATGTTGATAGCACGCCAGCAACACCCTTCGGCTAGAAAACAATTGATTTCTCTTGCTTCAGAGGACACGATAAGCATAAAATTACCGATACATCAAGCAATGAAGCGTGATACATTGAAACATAAACCGTGACAAGCTTAGCTTTGAAAAAAAAACCAAGCGTACGCAAGTACATCCAAAGCTATATATATTATAGCCTGCAACAAATACGCAGGATGTTCCTCGGTGAAGGCTACTGTCCGTGATTCCCAACAACTCAACTGAAAAAATAAATATATTTTTAAATAATCAAACGAAAAGGCGGAGATTCATGAAAGAAGAGCGGAAAACGATGATAAAAAGATGGCTAAAATTTGACAAAATTTTCCCACATTATCAATTTTTGGCCTCCACTAGACAAACAGTTCGCCTCTCCTTTACACGTGAAAGTTCACACGTTCTGTGTTTAGTTGATACCTGCCTGCGTGTTATCTTAAAAGCTGAGGACAGACTATGGAACAAGTAACCATTACAAATTCAGGAAACAACACCGTAAACGAAGCGATATAAAGAGGTACTTGTTAAAATCATCCCACATGAGGCATATCTACATTACTCTAAATAAAATGTTTATATAACTCTCTAATCTAATCTCAATAATTAATAAGCAATCCTCTCTTGTTAAAACTAACCATGTTGTAATTGTTAGATAGACGTTAGATAGCTTGCCAATCAATCAGATACCACAGTGGACCATTTGAACAAACGAATACAAAATGATGAAAACGGAATGGATTTGGAACCGTGTTGTTCTTCCCTATAGCAGTAAACAGACAACTTTCCTATACGAAGGTTGACTATGTTGTAGCACTTGTCCTGTGTAATGGAATTTCTGGCAAGATCCTAACTACACTTTAATCAACTAACTTAAAGAAATATCACCTTTCAGTTTTACTTTATCTTTGGCGTGCTAGCATCTACTTATTCTCGTATCATCTCTGATTGATCGCGCAGTTTATTTTTAGATGAACTCATAAATACTAAGTTATTTGGCTTTCAGGGCAAGGCACGTATTTTATTGTAAGAAAAAAAATACACTTGACTGAGAGGCCGAAATAGCTTTTTGGAGATGTGACCGGCTATAGCTTAGGCGCGTCTGATGACACCCACATTAAAGTAAAAGTGAAGTTAAGACATGAGTTTATAAAAACCTCTCAATGTTTCATCTGGATAAGAGCAAGTACATACGTTATATCGTCGAGGTAAGTGGTCTTAGTTCGATTAAGTGGGGCTGTCAGTTTTTTCCGAGTGTGGCGACTCAACTAGCGCATGATAACAGCTAATGTGATAATGTTTACGGGGTTTTTCGAAGCTCCCCTTGCCTGTAAGAAAGCTCCAAAACATAGCATCCTCAATGTCGAGATCCATGGTGTGGACAATGTCGAATTCAACAAAAAATCTATCAAAATGTTATCGCGAAAAACGGGTCAAATGTCATAACAGTTCGCCAAAGATTTTATTCGATCTTTATCTAGGGCCAAAAAGCTAAACCACGTTCGTAGATAACCCCTTTGCAATCAGTCTGGAGAGAAATTCAAAACTAAAATAATTCCTTTAATCAAAGAGTCAGTTTGGTTTTTATCCAGCTGTTCAAAAAAAATTTCTATCAGGTTTCTTGCATTTCAAACATTCATCATGATAAACATGAGGAAAGTCGCAGAAAAATAAAACAGAAAAAAAAATTGCAGGTGAAACTGATTATCCTTTGCTTTCGATGTTTCGTCTCCTCGAGGCGGTATTTCTTTTGTTGTTGAAAGATTGCGTTCATGACCTTATTCAGAGACTAATTCTCACTGCTCAAGTTATGCGTAAAAAAAAAAAAGAATGTCGGAGAATCGATACAGAAACTTGTTACTTTCTCTGCGTTCGTGACCTACCGCAGTTTTCACATTCTCTTATCTCTCTTACAACCCGCAGACAAACCAAATCGCCCTTTACACTGTCTTGGAGATGAAGCCATACCCGAGCATAGACGTTGTTTCTGCAATGAAGCCGTCCTCAAATTTATCTTTCAGAAGCACGGTATCTAAATTACAGTTTGCTCTTAAATATTGAATCTGTTTTCGTGCCGCGCCATCCCTGCTTCCACGCGCGTAGATGTGCATATTACGCCTAGCACCGATAAATGTATTTCCCGATCGAAGCCAGAAAGACTTAGAACCCCTAATATATTTTTAATAGACCTTCTCATCCACTTTCCGTGTCCATATTTTTTCTCTATTACAGGCATAAGGGACATTTCCATTTATCTGATGAATTAAGGAGTCTAGAAAGACTGATACGCCCACGAAATTCCTACGATAAATTAATTTCCGTTATCAAAGACTTTCACCGTGGTTTAATTAGTTTCGTGCTGTGCTGTGAGTGGGAGGTCACTGATTACTGTTGATCAAATATGCTCTTTCACTCTTTGCCTCTATCATCTGGTATCTTTACGATTAAAATTTGTTTACTTCTTCATTTGAAGCTACTATCCCTATAGATACATCTTTCAACGGCTATAATTGATACCAAGCTTATTTGGAAGAGCGGAGAGGAGCTTCTCAAGGAGCACCGTAAGGGTCTAGCCAGGGTTTGGATCTCTCATTCCTATCAATGATCAGTTTTTAACGTCAGTCATTTATTTTTGGGCAGGGGGGAGGGGTGGAGGGAAGGCTGGGAGGGAGAGAGAGAGAGAGAGAGGGGGAGGGATGCGAAAATGGAAAGATGAGGAATAAAGGCATTGAAACACAATGACTGACAGAAATTTAAACCCTCCCTGAGAGATTGTGTGCTAGTATATCGTGAGTGTAATTAGGAATCGCCATTGTTTTTTTAGTGTCCTTTCTATCTCGTTTGTTTTGCTTTACTCGGGATCGGTTACACATCGCAGAACTACGCGTGCGTGTGGTTTTCGAGTTAACTGAGACAACACAGTTTCCCACTCTTCGGCTAAAAAATGGTGGATTGATGATGGGAAAAGACTCGGTATAAGCACGCTTTGCCAAGCAGTTGACCTGTACATAAATGATTAGTCAGATCGGAGCTCTGTAGTAAATGTGCAAGTAATGAGACTACAGCCCGGGGGGTACTCGATATATTCCTGGGTGGGGAGGTGCGGCGCGGCCCCTCATACCCTGACCCGGTTTAAGACAAATATCGCTGATTTTCCAACCCTGTTTAAGACAGAATTCTGATTTTTGATACCCTGTTTAAGACATTTAATGTGCCTGGTATCAATGCCAAAATCAACGGAATTCAATATTAATTAAAATTAGAGCTTGTAAAAATTTTGCTGTTTATCTTCCAAGAAAAGATATCCTGTTTAAGACAAAAATTGATAAATCGATACCCTGATTAAGACAAAAAATGATAAATTCGATACCCTGTTTAAGACAAAAATCTCGAAAAACATACCCTGGCTGGCCGCACGTCCCCATTAAGCCCTTATAAGGGGGTACCCCCCCCCGGGGACTACAGTGACCAAAGGCGCGTCACGTTTTGGCAAAAGTGTAACAGACAGTGAGAACTACGCGTGCGTGTGATTTTCGAGTAAACTGAGAAAACACAGTTTCCCACTCTCCGGCTAAAAAAATGGTGGGTTTATGGCGGAAAAGACTCGGTATAAGCACGCTTTGCAGAGCAGTTGACTTGTACATCAATGATTAGTCAGATCGGAGATGTGCAGTAAATGTGCGAGTAATGAGACTACAATGACCAAAGGCGCGTCACGTTTTGTCAAAAGTGTAACACATAGTGGTACTATTATAATACACAACATACCTAAATACGTACCAAGTTAGTGACCAACGGTTGTAAGTGGTAAATATGTGTCTCTAGTATTCAACACTGAAGTAGATGCCCACTAAGGACGCCGCAAACATGTTTTACGATAAGAACATCCTCTTTTTTTCCATTCTCAGACTCGTTATGCTTCTAGCACTTTCTTAGCAATCGGGGATTCGATCAACGATAGCATCAATTTAGAACTGCTAGTTCATGCTTGATGATCAGCAATATTTCTTTCGCTTCCTCGCCAAAACACACTCAGATCAGGAGGTAGTTTAGATTCAGTAAATATGTTTACCCAGGTTACTTATAAAAACACACTAAAAGGTTTGAAAGACTTCAACTTTTAAGTGTAAACTTTATCGCTATCGCGATCAAATTTAGCCGTTAGGTGAAATAGTTCGGGTGCCGTTAACCCGAATCCACACTGATAAAGATATCAAATCGGTTCCAGGTATCTAAAAAATTGCAAAGTTCAAAATTCATACTTGTCAGCTCTATTGCAAATGAACTTGAAATTTTTATACAGATTATTGGAGGTTAAGCATTTGCTGTGATGATCTTTTTTAGTACCGAAGTCTGACGTAAAGGTGTTGTAGACTGTGTCTGCGTGAGCTATTCAAACCATAACTTTAATGTCAGCTTCAATTATGAAATCCTTTCTTAGTTTGCTGCATACTCTCAAGAGTGCTTTTGTCAAACCTTTACGAAAGTTCATAAATTATTGGTAATCTTGATTTCTGTTATTCATCTATTTTTTATGTTTAGTGGCAAGAACTACCAAATTAA